CCCCAAAACCCCAAAACCCCAAAACCCCAAAACCCCGCTTTGTTAAGTCTAAATTGAAAGATTTATTAATGCTTATATTATCAACCACTGCTTGACTAAACTTTAGATAAGACTTCAGTAAGAATTAGCATTATGCTTCCTTTCAGAGAGCCCCAGAACATCACTTATGTTTCCAGAGAATCAGATGAGTATGCAAAGTTTATCAAGACCGTAGAGAGCAACTATGCGAGTAAATAATAAGAGATCTGCTTGAATCATGTGCTGGGGATTCATTACATCATACCAGAAGAAAAAGCACCAAGAGCATCTAAGTTATATTGTTTCTGCCAAAGATTTTCAAGATGAAGCTTCTTATATTAACCTTTGAAATTTTAACAATAAGATTAAGGATGACAAAATAGCTTTGCTAAATGAAAGCTGAAATGTATTGATTTCTAATCATTACATGTCAGGTGGGATCAAAACTTCCACAGTTAGTCCTAGCTTGGGAGGAAATATCTGAAATCAGAATTTCGCCAATTATCTTTGATCAAGCATTGCTAATTCCTTCACCAATGGAACTGAGGAGTTAGATCCACTCATAGCAGAACTATCTATTTCTCAGACAGAGGCAACCCCAATGAATATATCTAGTGATGAACTCTTTAAAATTCGTCAAAATCAGCAAGAGCAAGAAATACTGATTGAGCACCTTTCAAGTATGATCTATAGAGTTTCTAGTGAAAATGATATAAAATCAAAATTTTTAGAAAAATTAGAAACCAAAACCAAACACCTCTCAGGAGTTCTAGCAGACTATAAAACCACTCTAAAACGTCTCAGAATGATCTATACCCTTCCAACCCCCCAACCAACCCCTACTCTTTCACCTCCCATAAAAACGCCCAAAAATCTCCAAAAACCGAGCTCACCTCCAAATTCCCCTTCTCCTTCCTCCTCTACAGCCCCTTTACCCCCTTCTGCTCCTCCCCAGGTCCCAAAAATTCCTCTCAAACTCCCCACTAAGCCCAAAATCCCTCCACAATCCAAATCCAAGCCCAAGCCTCGCCCAAACCCTAAGCCCAAGTCCAAATCCAAACCCAAAACGAGCACATCCAAGAAATCTCCCCAAAAACGGCTTAAAACCTCAAATTCCTTCTCCAAAAACTTCGAACAAAACTTAAAAAAGAGGAAAACCCAAAAAGACTCTAAGCCAAAGAGTGAACTTGGCAAGGATTTTCTCTCAAAAATGGCTTATATTGGATAATTTTTAAAATTTTTACATTTTTGGAATTTTTGGGATTTTAGGATTTGTACGGTTCAGAGTCGGATTCTGAGTAAACTTCGAGGTGGGACTGGGCGGGTAGAGGGGTTGTGTTGTAGAGACTGAAGATTTTAGAGAGGACCTAGAGGTGAGGGAGGGAGTACTTTGAAGATTTTGGTGCAGAGTTTGGGACCTAGGTGATGGGAAGAGGAGTGGGTAGATGGAGATGTGAGGCTTGAAGGGATGGGAGAGTCTATGGTGTTGGCAATTCTTCCAATGAATTCTAGGAATTCTACGAATTGTAGTCTGTCATAATTGTCCTTGTCTCCTCCCATTTCATCGATTACAGTCATTTTTGAGTATCAGTAAGAGAGGGTAATAATATTCTTTGGTTTTAAGCTGTCATCTTCATCTTTTCCGACTTTGCTCTTAGACTTGAATTTTTCATTTAGTTTGCTCTCTTCATTATTCGCTTTTTCTGTTGTATTAACAATCTCTGGCATTGCACGAGTTATCAGATCAGTTACATCATCCAAATCCATCCATTTCTTTCCATGATTATGATATGATTTATAAATCTTCTGAAGTTGGGGTAAATTAGCTTTAAACAACTGGTCTACTCTATAAGTCCAAAGTTTTTCTTCTCTCCATTTTTGCCATGACCAGTAATGGTCTCATCTATCAAAAATATCCTCCAAAAATCTCTCTGTAGCTTCAGCAAGGGAACTATATATTTTGGTGTTGTAGTACTTCTCCCTTGCTAATCTTGCAATTATTTCATAAAACTCATAACGACAGAGGTCTCGATCTGGGTTGTCTTCTTGTTCAACTTCTTCAAAATTAGTGACAATAAAGACCCTATCTATAGTAGAAAATTTAAGATTTTTGTCAACGATTTTCCATGTTTTACACATATCTCAGAAATCCAGCCATGAAATACTTGGAAAAGAGGAATTTCCTATTCCATATGTGAATAAATCCTTAATCTTGCGAGTGTGCTTATATAGCACATCAGTAACTTCTTCATAGACATCCTTAGTTCCAGTAAATTTAGCTATCTTGGAATGATGCATGTCTAGCTCAAATGCTCGAGAGAGCCTATCTTGATTATCTTCTTTCCAAGCCCGAAAGACACTGTTCTTTTTAATGAATTTATGCAACACCATTCTTTTCTTCACACGCTTCTCTTTAACTTTATGTTCACTATCTCTGAAAGGAACTACGAAACTAAAATGGTAAAGATTGTCTTCAGCAGATCTCGTTGGGTTGAGATCAATTCAGAATTCGTGCTTCTCTGGAGGTAGATAATCTAGAAATAATTCTTCCACCTTACCTGCATAAATATAGTATTCTTCATCATGACTGTTACTCTTTTCTGATTTGATAGCTATAATAAATTTAGGAAGTTACTTCTTGAATTACTCTGATAGTGTAACTCGAAAATATCTCAAAGATTAAAGACTTCAATTGCTTTTTCTGTATCAAAAAACTTCTTAGCAATAGCAGTCCATCTCTCAAACCCAAATCTTTCTTCTTCAGGTTCAAAGCTACCCTGATTATTTTCTTCATGCTCTAATCCAGCTTTGTCTTTCAGGGTCAAACTGGGATTTGGATTAGTATCATTTTTCTTTTTCTTGATACTTTTCTTCTTTACAAGTTTAGTTGTGTATAGCTCCTCTTCTCTTTTCCTCTCTTCTTCCTCTATGACCTTCTTCTGTGATATGATATCATCCCTGATTTTGTAAACTGTGGGCTCTTCTACTTTTCTAAGACAGAATTTCTTCTTCATTATCAGCTGAATGTCTCTGGTGAATGCTCTAGCTAGTTTGTTATACATTGACCCATCAGCTTCAATATAGAACCTTGTTGAGGGAAGACCATTCCTGGAGACATATTCTCAGTAGTCTAGTATTGGCATCATTTTTATAGGTTTCCAAGAGGTAAAGCTGCCTGAAATCTCTGGAGTGCTACTAATAACAGTCATTTCTTCATTGTTTCTTGCATTCTCGATTGCCTGCTTATATTTAAGAGTATCAAAATTTTTGTTCATTAACTTATCCATGACCCTATACAATTAGTTGAAAAGTTACCTTTTATTGGCTATAAAGACTGTGTAGTTCCATTTTGCACAGATCCAGCACTTCTTTGTAAGTTTCCATCGATGGCTTCCTTTGATCTCTATATGGCCAAGGATGCGGGTGAAGATAACTCTGTCGTCAATGGTCTCCTTTACACCTGCATTATTTTTGTTAATGCTTGTCCTCTGCATCCTTCTCTGTCTCTGCATACTAACTTTAAGTTTGTAGTCATTGGAGGGTGAATTTTGAACCTTTGAGGGTAAGTTACTCAAGGTCTCCGTTCTTTCTATCTCTGAAGATTTCTCTGTGAAAACATCCATCATTTCCTCCTTTGTATACTAGAAAATTAATATTTCGGGCTTACAGATGACATATTATTAGCAGAAAGATGAATTGCTACCAAGGTACGTGAATAACGCATGGCCTTTGCGAGAATTAATCAGCATTCATGACTCAGATTGCATCCACTCAAATCTCAATGAACTAATGATTTCCTCTATAAAATATATCAAAATCTTACCAAAATAGTGCTAAGGTGAGTTGCCATTTTTGTATTATTCGGACCGCTGAATGGTACTGCTGCTAGACTCAAGTACTGAATATGGGTCACATTTCCGATAGATTCTGTCAGATTACCAAGATCTGACATAAATATTTCATTCCATGAGAGATCTAGCTTTCTCAAGCTAAATTTTGTTATTGAATACTTACCTATAATTCTCGCTAATAAACGTGCAAATGTTCTTCGTGCTTAAGCTATTCAATTTTACTGTTGTAAGGACCAGTTCCTTAATAGTCCTATTATCAGGAAGCGAGGAAGTGAAAATTTCAATATTTATAGGCCTCATAAATCAATCATGGACTGAGATGGATTCAATATGAGATTTCTTCCTTCGACCAAGTTTTTCATCAAATTCACAGAGTAGGGCTTTTAAAGATTTAGCACATTCTTCATCAAGTTTGTTGTTTTCTATTTTCAAGGTTTTCATATAAGGATTGCTCGATACTCCATTTATAATTTCTATAATAATTATCAATGATTTACTGGATAAGGAAGCATCGTTCATATCATTACTTTTGAGGGCGATAACCTCAATATATTCAGCAAGTTCCTCTATGGCCGCCTCTAAAGCTTTGGCGAGCCCTTCATTCATACGGTAGTTTTCTAATATGAGTTTCTTTTCCTTCAGTTTATTAATGACTGGTACTGCTAGAACATTTTCTTCTTTGCATTTTTGAATAAATTTCATCTGCGCCAATTTATTCTTTACATTATTTTTAGTGTATTTCTTCTTCTCAGTTTTCGAGAACTTTACTCCCAGAAATTTATCTAGAAGTTATAAATATGTAGAAGAGCTTTATGAATCAGATTTAGGAAGAATTAAGATTTAATTGGATCACAAAATTGCAAAGTTTAGGAAATTTAGAGGGCCATCAAAGATAATTATTTACCTAACATTCCACTGTTGAGAACATTATTTTGCTACTTGATAAAACTGCTTCTTAGCATTGACCTCACTTGTTAATTCTGCTTCTAGCATCTTGGTATCATTAATTTCTTGATTAGCTCCTTTCTCTGCTCTATTTCTATTAAAATTAAAACCCTTCTCTATAAGATCTCCTGTATTTAATCTATTACTTTAATATATATCCAAAAAGAGGTAAATCTCTCAAAATCCTCCTAAAAGTCCTTTTATGCTCAGATTGTTTCCAACCCTTACTTTCTTATGTCTTGCTCGTGGTCAGCCATTTGGGCATACTCTGCATCATGAGCTTCGCCAGTGAAGATATTCTCAGTTAATAAAATCCCATTGTGAGCTTTGGATTTTTGAGAATCCTGGTCGTCTATTGATTGCAGAGGAGGTTCACTTCCTTGCGAGAAATCAATTTGGTTTAACTTGTATGAGGTTAGAATGGAATAAAGGGTTAAAGAAGTGGGTGTAGACTATAAAAAAGATAAATTGAGTGCTAAGAGAGTTAGAAGCTATAGATCAACTCCTCAACTATTCTATCCTCTAAAGCCTCTCATAACCTTATCCCCAACGCACTCCCCTACCCCATTACTTGTCTACCTGTTTCTTTTCCTCTTCCCACTTCCTCTTCATCTGCATCATCTGTTTCCTATTCTTCTGTACCTTCCTTCTCCATTCCTTGGATCCCATTTCTACTTTAACCTTCTGTTCTTTATCTCCTATGACTTCTTGGCGCTTTCCTGTGTTGCCTAAGAGGTTAGTTCTGGCTTACTCTGGTCATGAGAGGGGAGGCTATTTTTGGCTCTGTGAAGATTTGTAGCTGAAGAGTGAGAAGGACAGGTACCTGCTTTTGACAAGAGGATTTTGGTGGGTTTTAAAGCTAGAAAGTTAGTGGGGATGTACTCTTTTGACGGTGAGGCGAGTTTGGGGCTTTATAGGTGTGGGATTTTAGGTTTGATGTTTTAGAGAAAGTTGCGTCTATTGAGAGCTGGGAGGTCTTTTTGCGAGTGAGTTTTGAGGTTAGGTGTATGTTTGGATCGAATGAGTTCAAGCGATTCACCACTAAAGTTATACAATATCTTACAATCTGGGTTAAAAGACTTCCTCCGAATCAAAAATGAGTCTTTGTTAATTTGAGTGCTGTGTCCTAAAAATATATTTTTACCTCTACAAAAGCCCTCACAATTCCTCACTCCTTACCCCACTCACTTACTCCTATTCTTCTCCATTTCTAGCATATTTTCTACCTCTTCTATCCCATAAAACTTTATCTTACCACACATATTGACATTAACGCTTAGCTCGTTTCCTAATTGTGAAAATCTTTTTCGTCCTTTTAGAATACCTTCTTTTCCCGTCTATAGATGCCTTTTGGGATCTTACTGTTCTATTCATATAGCTACGCTTTCGGTTTTTATTTGGTTCAGGTTTGTGGGAGTGTGAAATACATCTCTTCAGTAACAGAATCCAATTGCTCCAAGAACTTCTCAAGCCTAGCTTCAATCGTATTATCTGGCTTGGGGATGTCAAGAAGGTCTTGGCTGGTTAGAAGCCGCTTGTGGGCGGCTTCTTGGGATTTTAGGGGATCTGGGATGGGGAAAGGAGGGATCTAGAGGGTTATGAAGGGGTACTTGTTTTTGAGAGTGGAGAGCGGCGTGGTTTCTCTTATTTTAGCTGGGAGATTAGGGTTTTAGGGTCAGGAAGGTCTGTTTGGACTACATTTGGCATGATTAGGATCTAGAGTGAAGGGAGATGTTTACTTGGGGGTTTTGTTTATTTATGATAGGAGATTCTTCGGGGTGATCAATTGAATAGTTTATTGAATCGTTTCTGGTATTATTTTGAAGATTCGGTCTTAATTTTGGAAGGCTTTTTGGGAATTTTCTCACTGGAATTTTGGTTGGCTTTAGATTCCTTGTAAAATCAATTATTTCATTAATCAACTTGTCACTATACATACCCATGATTCAAAGAACTTCCATGAAAACCAATTGTTCATGTTTAAGTTGTCCTTACTCTATTCTATGAACAGACATGGATCTTTTATCCTGAGTTGTTTTATTTTCTTCTATAAAATCTCTTACCCCAAAATCTATTGTTAAAGCTTAAAATCTAAGCTTTCAGAACATGAATAATCCTTACCTCTTGCACTTTAACTCAAGCATGGATTCAAATTCATTTTCAAGGTTCTATATGACATAATTTAGGTCTAACTTTAGATTCGTAAAGCCCTTTCTTTAGCTAAATTCAAGGCTGTTTATTAATTCCTGGATAATTTATCATGAATAAAAGAGAAATTGAGAAAGCGTCAGTCGAGAAGATAACTACGAACAAGCTCAAGTAATTTTTTCTATTAAATCATAAATCTTCTAGTTCTTTCATAAATAACAACTATTCTTAAAATAAATCTTGACCCTTTTTAACACACTCCTCTTCAAAAATAATATCTCTAACAGATAATCCAAAACTATCTATACACTCTAAACTTCACCTAGCCAGGGCTGAAGCCACGACTTTTAGGCTTGAACATATAAATGACTGAGAAGACTTAGGGTGGAGAGGGAGTGGAGGAAGGGGGAGGTTGAGTAGGTTGGTAAGTGATTTGAGAGATTTTTAAGTGGGGGAATATGGGAGAGCAAATTTTGGGATTCTTTTGGATTTTTTATCTGTGGTGGGTGTTGTTTTTTTACTAGTGAGAGGAGGTGTATGGATTTTGGAAACCGATTTTTTTATTTTTTGGGTTTGATAAGATGATTTGTTATAGTTTGTTTTAGGAATTAAGTAGATTAACAAAAAATGAACTTTGGAATAGAAATATAGTAAGAAATAATCTTCAAGGTATCAAGAATTTCAATTTTTACATGAAAGTTCTTAAAAAATCAATTGTTATATTTATGATTTTGAATACTACTTTCTCATTAAATTTGAAGCATTTTCTATTAACATCAGACCATAAAAAAGTATAAAATTTGGATAAAAACTTGTCTAATTCATACTATATTATCTTCCCTATAAATTAGCAATAATTTCCACCTAAAATTATTCCAACCACTTCAAAATCTTCACACCCAAAATTTCCTTCTCCCCATCCAACACTAAATCACACCCTTAAAAACCCCCAAAAACCATCCACATTCTTTCCTTCCCACTCTCCACCCCATTTCCCTTCAGACCCCAATACCCACTCACTTCCACTTAGCCCAGGAACCTTCCTAGGCTAAAGACCATTACACTTTTAAAAGGGAGAGATAGGGTCAGAGCACAAGTTAGGATTCTGAACTGTAAAGGAGCTGTTTTAGGGGTTATTGGGTGGGTAGGATAGGGGGAGGGGAAGGATTGGGGAGATGGGTTAATAGAGGGGTTTTGGGGATTTGGGAATTTTTTGGGCTTACTTTGGATAGGTGTTGTGACTGAGTGGGGGTGTGTTTGGGGTGGGTAGGGTGGTGGCAGCCTGGGGGTTGGGAAGAGCTGTAAAGTAGGGATTTAAGGGTGAAGGAAGGTAAAGTTGTTAGAGGAGAAGGGATTTTTAGTACCTGTTTCGTATCATGGAAGGAGTTTTTGCAAATCTTCCATAGGGTGTTGTAAATGTAGCGTTCTTTCGGGCAGCATTACGATTCTGACTCTATTATTTAGAATAGAATGCTTACATTTTGTAAGAATATTTGATTTGAATAAATTTTTGAGTTGGAATCTGTATCCTGAGCTAAAAAAACATAAGAGAAATGATACAATTTTAATTACATCAATCCCATCCTAAATTTCCAAAAATTTAGTTAAAAATCATAATTCTTACACAGAGTTTTCCAGCTGCTATTTTTCCAATAATGTGCATTCTTAATGACAGATCTTGATCTTTCTAAACCAATAATTTCTCCACCCCTGCACTCATGAATACCCTCTAACTATAAACCTGGCTAGTCCATGACCTCATGTGGTCACCTGATGATTACCTGGAGTGTAAGACTTTTGGTAGGGATGTGGTTCCATTTTTCTAATTGTTTTGTTTTATATTTCAATTTTAATTTGAAATTTGGGGTTTTGGGGTTTTGGGGTTTTGGGGTTTTGGGG